CTCTTCCTCTCCCAAAGCCTCTCCCACGGCCTCGGCCTCTCCCTCCCCCTCTTCCTCTGCTGCCTCCTGCAGCTCCATACCCCTCAGCAGTTTTGTTGGCAGCACCACCTCCCGTGTGGCGCCTGCGGAAGTCCTCCTGCAGGATCTGCTGCCGTAGCCACTCAGGCGTCCATTTGTCCTGCTGAACATTGAGGGTGGGGATAAGGTTGTCCCACGAGTTGTCGAGCACCGAGATGATCTTGGTGCACTGCTGCATCTCCGACACCTTGCTGCCCGCCGCTGCCATCCTCGCATAGGTGTCCTTAACCTTGTCAAGCACCGGCTTCACATCGTCGCCCGGCCGCATGGAGAGGGCAGCCAGCTCCTTCTCCAATACGATCACCATCGGCAGCGTGTTGGGCTGAACCACGTCGCGTAGCAGCTTCCACGCCTTTGGTCCCGAGTCATCGAGCTCCACCAAATCCTTGATGTGCTGGAACATGTCGTTGTTGACCGACTGTAGAATCAAGTCGTACAGCACCGCGCTTTTCTCAATCCATCGATCGCGGTCATCTCCTTCCTCCGGCATCTTCTCTTCTCCCATCGCGAGTTTCAGCAGCTTATAGCGCTTGAAGGCGCTCCGCATCCGCCCGCTCCATTCCTCGTAGTTGGAGCCATCCAACGCCTCAATCTTGGATGGTGGCGGCTCACTCCTCTTCTCAGCTGCTTCTCCACTCCCTTGACTCATCTCCTCTGTTCCCAATCACAGGTTCCAGCTCCCCCTTTGCTGTCCACACCGAAGTCCCACACAAGTTCCACAAGTGTCGGCGCCAACAAAATTTCGGCAGAGTTTCCCCTTAGCGGAAGTCACATGCAACCTCCAGAACTCCACTTAGGCACGCCCACAGGCCATGGTGGGTCTAGGAGGGTCTTCACACTTCAGTAGACTCTCCACAAAGTCCTTAATAAGCTCTGATACCACTTGTTACAGACTAAGGACGGAGTCTATGAAGATTAGGAGCCGAAATATCTCAAAATCGTTGGGCCTAGTTTCTGGACAGAAAAGTCGAGCTCACAAGAAACGCCGTCGACGAAAAGTTCACGGTCAAAACTTCACCAAACTCAGATATGTTGTAGCCCTAGTCTGTGGCTACAATTCCCAATTTGAATCGTACGATATGGTGAAGTATTTCTTGAGGTATCAGTTTCGGCGCACTAGGGGGTATGCTGCCATAGAGTCTTAACTCAATCACAAAGTTCACACAATTTCACACAAGAGAATTAGAGTAGCACTAAACCAGGTGGAAGGGATGAGGAGGACGAGAGGGAAGGTCCCAAGAGAGTCCCCAACCAAGGAAACCCATGCCATACAATTCCCTTCCCCATAGGCAACCCAACTTTGACCTTTGTCACTATCCCAACCTCCACAATCCACCTCAACCCAACTTGGCCACACTTGCCAACCTGGTTTGGTTTCTCCCAACCATTTGGCAGCAACTACAGTAGAAAAGACGAATTTTCCAACCCCCAAAAGTCTGTACCCCATATTGAGTCAACCCCACAACTTCCCACAGTTGCCACAATCAAATATGAAAAGCATACGAACTCCAACATTCGTAACTTTATTGTTCGTGCTCCGATTGAAGCGATACTTGGTTCGTCGGAAAGCTCTTGAGCAGAGGAGTCAATTCAGATATCTGCTCAAGCCAAATAACATTCACACACACACTCAGAAAAACCAAACCGCACAAAACACAAATTCTTGCACACGCTCACACCACGCATGCAATGCACGAACATATGATGGGAGGCAGACAGACGTGAATGCATATGATTGCATCACACAACAGTTGCGGTGACTGTGAGGACGACAGTGGAGAACGAGACGACACCTTACATGCTACCGAGGGGAGAGGGATAGTGTGAGTCACACCTGACGGGGCAGGTCCAAGGGGGGGAGGGTGTACCGGAGGAGCAGGACCAGGAATGAGTGGGGGCTAGAAAGAGTGGAGGGGGGGGGGAACCGGGAGACCTCAGTGGGGGAAGCGGGCGTAGTAGGACACAGACTCGTCAAAGCAGACGTCACGGGAGTCAGGGGTGTTCACCGGGAAACTAAGGAAGATACAAGGAAGGGTGCGAGCTGAGAGCTTGTCCGCAAAGGTAGCGCGGACAAGCGCAAGGCAGCCCTAGACACAAAACTCAGACGCAAAACCTGGGGACCTAGTCCAGAGACAAGTCGGTGAAACCTCAGGGCAAGAGACACTCGGCTAGCGGTTCAGCTGGTGGGCGGCATAGCGAACTGCGTAGGGCAACAGAAAATCGTGCGCACGGGCATGGATCATGGAGGTGCGGGCGATCTCCATGACCAAACCTATGCGGCGCTCAGTAACCCCATTCTGCCGTGGCGAGTCCAGAAGCGTCCAGAACTGAGTGATGCCCTGCTCGCGACAGAATCCGGCAAGCACGCCGGAGCGAAACTTAACCCCACGGTCGGAGTGGAGACACAGGACACGACTGCCGCGCGTGGCACTGGTGGCCGGCAACCACGTGACCAGGGTAGAAGTCACGCCAGACTTCTTCCGCAAGGGGAACATCGTGATGTAGCAAGAGAAGTCGTCAACGACCACCAGGAAGAAACTCTCCCCGCCCGGTTCAGGCCGAGGGGTGGGGCCCCAGACGTCCAAGTCGAGAGTGTGGAAGGTGGCGGTGGCCGGACAAAGGGAGGAGGAGAGAGGAGTGGCGTGCAGCCTACCCTCGATGCAAGGAGTGCACAGAGGCGCAGGCGAAGGAGGGATTGACGTAAAGACTCGCAGGAGACCTGAGGCAAGACCCTGACTAGCCATGCCACGGAGGCGTGGGAGGGACAGGTGACCAAGGCGGGTGGGTAAGCGACTGACAGGAGCACGACGCAGCAACCTGACCAGACGCAGTAACCTGACTAGTTGCAACTACCTGGGGGGACGCAGTGTGCAAAACGAAAAGACTTGAGTGGGGCTCCCTGGTGAATGTGGCAAGAAGTGCCCTGGTGGAAGCATCCGTACATATCGCAGTCCTCCCATGCGCAGGAAAAGTGACTGTGATCCCACGTATGAGGATCTAGGATCGAGCTCAGGAAAGAGAGTTTGAATTGAATGATTCACTTGGGTACAACACGAGGCTATATATAGTCTCGACACAAGGCCAAACATGAGGGTCGCGAAACATCCCGAACAGAACCTTCCCGAACTCGGTAGAAATCAATTCGGTGGCAACCAAATAGGCTTGAGTTCAGTACACGTAACCTGGTTCAGTGCTATAACTATAATAAAATATAGAAATGCACCTAACCTAGGAAATCAAGCATATCTATGCATGATAAATAAAAGCCAAGCTAGTAATAGCATAATAAAGTACAGGCAAGCTAGCAAAGCCAGCATAAGCCTTTGTACTCTCACACGTCCCCTCCTCAAAGCTGGGTGGCGTGAGATACACCCTGCTTGACAAGATAGTCTTTGAGAGCACAGCGTGCGTTGCCCATATCAGCTTCTGCAACCCAGCTATCCTTCGATGGGTCGTATCCCTTCCAGCGTATCAGGAACTCGAGAGTCTTGCCGCCGCGGCGCTGATGAGTGAGAACGCGCTCCACTTTGTACTCGGGTTCATCCTGTATGGAGACAGGTGGTGGTGGCGGTAGCTGCCGTCCCTGGAACTGTTGGTTGGGGTCCTTGTAGGGCTTCAGTAGCTGAACATGGAAAGCGTTGTGAAGCTTCCACGTAGTAGGTAAGCGCAAGCGGAATGTTACTGGTGTCACCTGTGCCTCAACGTGAAAAGGACCACAGAAGCGAGGCTGGAGCTTGGATGGTAGATGAGACAGGTTCAAGTTGCGCGTGTCGAGAAGCACCTGATCTCCGAATGCTACGGTGTGATCACGTCACTGGCGATCTGCATATTGCTTCTGGGAGTTCTGCATCGTGGTGAGACGTCGCTGAGTCTTCTCCCATAGCTTCTGCATGGTGGTGACAAAGTTATGTGCGGCTTGGACGTGTGCCGGTGTAGTTGGCTGCTGTGGTGTGAGTGGGTCCCGTCCGTAACACAGGAAGAAAGGAGATTTCCCTGTGGCCGCATGTGACGCGTTGTTGTAAGCGAACTCTTGGGTCGGTAATTGTGTGTCCCAGTGGCTGACGTCATCTTTGCAAGATGTGCGCAGTAACTGTTCAACCACTTGATTGAGTCGCTCTGTCTGCCCGTCAGTCTGGGGGTGGTATGCTGAAGACATCGCAAGCTTAGTGTCACAATAGATTTATATCTATTTAGTATAATCTGCCTGTAGTGTAGCTGTTGTGTAATTCCCTTGTATGGTGGTGCACCTCTTTCATCTTTGTTAGGTTGCTATATGTACTCGTGTGCTATAGTGAACCTCCAACCATTTTCAATTCCTCCTTGGCACAAACTACTCGACACCCGTTTGGCCTAGGCTACTAAGCCTAGGCCCTTAGTTAAACCCGTACTCTAGTTAAGATCGTATCGTAACATGGTATCGAGCTACTAAGATCCTACTCCTAGGTGAATGGGCCCATCACCAGCTGTCGATATGACGCGCCCCGTCGATCAGGTCATTGCGCAGCCCGTTACGTGCATCGCTGGCCCGTCGCTCGCCCGTCGCCCCACCGGCTCGAGGTCCCGCTGCTGCTGCGCTAGCAACGACGAGCTGCGCGAGGGCGCTCGTCGCGCCCCACCGTTACGGCCCCCCCAGTTCACCTGCGGACCCACGAGCAAGAGAGACAGCGGATCCGCGGACCCGCCTTCAGCGAGCGAGCCAGCGGACACGCGAACCTGCCTTCAGCAAGCCCGTCGACGGACCCGCCGACGGGCTCGTCACAGGGCCCGCCGACGGACCCGCCGTCGGACCCGCCAACGAGAGCGCCAGCAAGCCCGCCTGCGACCCGCCACCCGCACCCGCGCGACCCGTTCCTGCCCCGCTTGCATCTGCTGCGCCAGCTACTGCCGTTTCGTCCCGTTCCCGCCGCCCCACCCGGAACCCGATGCCCCACCTGTACTCGGCCGCCTGCCCGTCTCCCCCCCCGTCGCAACTGTTCGCGTGTGCAGTGGCGGTCGCTGTGGGTGGGAGAGGGAGGACGGGAAGGGATTGGCGGCCCAACCGACGCGCCAGCCAGCTCGCACCCCGCCCATCTCCCGTACGCCACCCGCATCTGCACGACCCGTCCCTGCCCCGCCTGCATCTGCCGCGTCAGCAACTGCCGTTTCGTCCCGTACCCGCACTGTCCCTGCCCCTCCCCGTCCCTCCCTCGTCGCGCCTTCCCCCTCTACCGCGCCTGCCTATGCCGTGTTGGGCGGTGGTGGGTGTGGAGGACAGTGGGGGCGGCGGCGGCGGGAATGGCGGGAGTTGCGGGAGTGGCGGGATTGGCGGCTCATGTGGGGGGGTGGGGGAGGCGTGGGGGAAAGGGGTGGTGGGCGGCTGTCAGCAGTGAACGCCTGCGCAAGCGCCAGAACTGCCGCCAACGCCTACCGCCCGTCCGTCTTCCCTTCCCCCCCTCCCCGTCGCCTTCACTACCGCGACTGCAGCTGTTGGGGGGGGAGTGACATGGAGGGGGTGATCAAACTGCAGCAATTGTCGCCACGCCTCCTCCTCTCTCTCTCTGCCGCTGTTGCTGCTGTGGGGGGGAGGTTCAGGGGGTGTGGGTGGATGTTCCAGCTGCAGCAACTGCCACCACACCTCCTCCTGTCATCCCCCCGCCCCGTGTCTCCCGTGCTGCTACCCCGTCGTTCCTGTGCCCCACCTGTGCTGTCCGTACCTGATTGTGCCCCACCCGTTACACCCGTGCTGTCCGTACCCAGTCGTGCCCCACCCGTTCCACCCGTTCTGCCCGTGTCCTGCCCGTGTTCTGCCCGTGATTCTGCCCGTACTGCTGCCCGTGATTGTGCCCGTGATTATACCCGTGTGTTGCCCGTATTTTGCCCGTGTTCTGCACGTGATCCTGACTGTGATTCTGCCCGTGATTCTGCCTGTGATCCTGCCCGTGTTGCTGCCCGTTCCCGTGCCCTACTGACCGTGCACCTCCTGTGCTCCCGTGATCCTGTGCTACTCATGCTTCTTGTGCTTCTCGTGCTGCCCCGTGGTCCTGTACTGTCCCGTATTGCCCGTACTTCCCCGAGCTTGCCCCGTGCCCGTGCCCGTGCTGTCTGCCCGTGTTCCCTGTGCTTCTGCTCGTGCTCTACCCGTGCTGTTTGTTCCCGTGCGTGCCCCACCTGTACCACCCGTGCTGTCAGTGCCCGTGCTGCCCCGTTCTGCCCGTGCTACCTCGTGCTCCTGTGCTGCCCCCGTGTTCCCGTGCTGCCCCCGTGTTCCCATGCTGCCCCCGTGCTCCCCCGTTCAGCCCTTGTGCTGCCCCGTTCTGCCTGTGCTGCCCCGTTGTCCCCGTGTTGCCCCGTTCTGCCCGTGTTGCCCCGTTCAGCCCGTGTCCTGCCCCGTTCAGGCCGTGTCCTGCCCCGTTCTGCCCGTGTTGCCTCGTTCAGCCCGTGTCCTGCCCCGTTCTGCCCATGTTGGCCTGTTCTGCCCGTGCTGCCCCGTTCTGCCCGTTTGTGTCCTACCCGTGCTGTCCGTACCCGTTGGTGCCCCACCCGTGCTGTCAGTTCTCGCTCGTGCCCCACCCGGTCTGTGCTGCCCGGTCTCGTGCTGCCCGTCACCCCCGTGCGGCCCGTCCCGTACAGCACCTAGTTGCTATCCGAACCCGCTACCCGTACCCGTGCTCCTCGCACACCGTGCACCAGCTGCGGGGCGTTCAACCGCAGCTGGGCACCTGTTCCACCGCGGTGGTTCAGATGCTGCTTGGTGGTTGCTGCTTGTCAGCTTCAGAGGGGGCCCCTTGCTGGTGTTCCCACGCCCTGTAATGGGGTTTTACAGGTGTACCCCTTCAAGGGGGGCTCTGCACATGGTTATGCACTTCAGGCAGATAGGGGGTGTGTCACAATAGATTTATATCTATTTAGTATAATCTGTCTGTAGTGTAGCTGTTGTGTAATTCCCTTGTATGGTGGTGCACCTCTTTCATCTTTGTTAGGTTGCTATATGTACTCGTGTGCTATAGTGAACCTCCAACCATTTTCAATTCCTCCTTGGCACAAACTACTCGACACCCGTTTGGCCTAGGCTACTAAGCCTAGGCCCTTAGTTAAACCCGTACTCTAGTTAAGATCGTATCGTAACACTTAGTCCCTAAAAGTCCCATGAGTTCCTTCCAGAACTTACTTGTGAACTTGGGATCTCTGTCTGAGATGAGTGTAGCGGGGATGCCGTGGATGGTGATGATGCGGTCGAAGAAGAGGCGAGCAATTGCTTCAGCTGTAGCTGTGGCGTTGGTCGGGATGAAGCTGTTAACGTGAGTTGTTGTTGGCCCCGTCCTCGCTTGGGCAGAGCCGACTTCGAGGTTGGGTGTACGGGAGGTGCAGTCGACTTGCAACAGTGGGCGATGCCTACTTGGGCGAGCTGGTCGACGAGTTTGGTCGACTTGCACGGGGCACTGCAAGGCTGCCGACTTGCGAGGTCGCCGACTTGCGAGGTCGCCGACTTGCAAGGTCGCCGACTTGCGAGGTCGCCGACTTGCAAGGTCACCAACTTGCGAGGTCGCCGACTTGGAAGGTTGCCGACTTCAAGAGGTCGGCCAGGAAGTCGGCGGCAACGTAGAATGGGCGTCGACTTGGTGACGCCGACTTCGGGTAGCCGACTTGGGTGGTCGGATGACAATTGTGCTGGTCAACGTAGAGCTGGCCGACCAGGAGTGACGTCGACCTGGAGCTGGTCGACCAAGGGTATGGTCGACCTGGTGAGGTCGACTCGAGGTGGTCGTCGACTTGGGAGGTTGAGGGGCACATACAGGAGTAGCTGGTCGACGTGGTTGCCCGGTCGACCGGGTTACCAGGGTGACGAGGTTCTCCGGAGGAGTGCGACGGTCGCCCAGGCGATGTTGGCGAGATCGATCTCGGTGGTGGTATCCCGAGGTCAACGTGGCGGATCAGGTGCAGTTGTCAGCACGAGGACAACTTGATGTGTGCGCTGTGCAGGTGACGAGGCACAGCATGCCAATCATCTGCGAGCACCTGCGAAGCTGGTGCGATGGTGTACTGCGGGAGCAACGCTGGCACGCCGTCGACCTGCAGCGTTGGCACACCGTCTACTTTGCACTGCTGGAGCGCGGTCGACCAAGTCGTGCTGGAACGCGGTCGACCATGCTGTGCTGGCAGTCGACCGACCTGAATGCTAGCTCTAATGTAGTCTTGTCTTGCCAACCTTATTGTACCATTGTCGTCAACTTTCTCTAGTGAAACTCTTGCCAAATAGCCCCGTGCACAAGCAAGCAGTGTGTGCACTAGGAAAACGACTAAGGAACAACGAACGCAGAGATCACACGAGCATCCGTGCCTAGCCCGTAGTCTAGCTCCCATTGCAGTAGTTATCAACGCGTCTGCTTTGTTGTGTAGCCCTGGCTTGTAGACAATGTCGTAGTGGAAGTGAGTTTCCAGGAAGTCCACCCACCGCACCTGTCGTCGTGAGAGTGTCGGCTGCAACTTCAGGTATTTGAGACTGCAGTGGTCAGTATACTATAGTCTTGGCTCCCTCTAGGTAACACCTCCACGCCTTGAAGGCTATCACTATCGCTAAGGCTCCCTTGTCATGGATGGGGTAGTTTAGTTCTGCTACGTGTAGCTTCTTACTGAGGTAGGCGATGGGCTGCAAACCGCGTTCGTGATCCTGCATCAGTACTGCTCCGACTGCTTGGTCACTAGCGTCTGCTTCCACCACGTAGTCCTTGTCTGGGTCTGGTAGGATGAGTACTGGCGCTGTGGTCAGTGCTGTCTGTAGCTGCTCCATGGCTTGCTAATGAGGAGTATCCCATTTGTAGGGCGTATCCTTTTTCAGTAGGTCAGTCAGTGGCGCTGCTATCTTAGCGTACTGCGGCACGAACCTGTTGTAGTAGTTGGCAAAGTCTAGGAACTGTTGCAACTCCTTCACGTTCTCCGGTACTTTCCACTTCTTGACGGCTTAGATCTTCCGCGGGTCCACGTGTACGCCCTCGGCACTCACAATGTGCCCAAGAAACTGCACCTTCTTCAGGGCGAAGTCGCTCTTTGACATCTTTACGTAGAACTTATTTTTCCGCAGGATCTCGAAGACTTTCCGCAGATTCTCCACATGTTCCTTCATGTTCTTGGAGTAGATGAGTATGTCGTCCAGGTACACCACTACGCACTCGTCCAGCAGGGGTCGTAGGATGTGATTCATCTCCACCTGAAATGTTGCTGGTGCGTTGCAGGGTCCGAACGGCATCACTAAGTACTTATAGGAGCCATATCTGGTACGGAACACCGTCTTGTGGATCGAGTTGTCCGCCATTTTGATCTGCCAGTAACCCGACCGTAGGTCCAGCTTCGAATAGATTTTTGCACCACGCAGTTGGTCTAAAGATCGTCTATGCACGGTATGGGGTATTTGTTTTTTACTGTCTGTTTGTTCAGTGCGCGGTAGTCGATGCACGTCTGTAAACTGCCGTCTGGTTTTGGAGTGAAGCGAACTGGTGCACCGTAAGGAGAGGTGGATGGGCGAATCAGTCGTCTGTCCAGCAGATACTCTATCTGCTTCTTCATGTCTGTCAGTTCGGTCGGAATCAGTCGGTATGGTGCACGTGAGACGGGTTTCGTACCTGGTTCCTCCACGATCTCGTGCTCGTGGGTGCGTGCTGGAGGTACTCCTGCAGGTAGGCCGTCGGGCATGATGTCTTTGTACTGCTCCAACACCTCCTTCACTGCTGCAGGTAGCTCTGCTTTCGGCTTCTCCTCTTCTGCTGTTGCCATAACCAGTGCTAAGTAACCAGTGTCTCTCTCATTTACCGTCCGTTCGAACCATGCCAGTGTAGTTTCAGGAACGCTTCTTGCATCCGTCTAGCTTCGCAGCTCCACTCGTTTCCCGTTGTTGTAGATGCACGCCTTCCTGTTAACACAATCGATCTTGGGGTTGAACCGCTTCAAGAAAACTCGCCCCAAGATGAAATCTAAACTCTTGATGTTCGTGATCGGCAACGTCGGCTTCCACCTTAGCGCCCCTATATGCAGATGCTTCAACGTGGATGGGAAGTTTCATACCGTCCACCATTGTTGCCGTTAACTTGGTCTCCTCCGAAGGTTCTCCAATTTTCTCCAACGTCCCGCACTCACACACCGAGTAAGATGCACCGCTGTCCACCAGTGCCTGGAGGCGTCATCCTTTGCATAACACCTCGATGAGTAGTGGTTTCTGCTGCGCTGAGTAGCTGAAGAGGGTCTCATTAATAGGACCATAGGGTACATCAAAGAGATTACCATCCCTATACCTAAATCAGCACTTTCCAACTTCACCTGGGGGGTATGAGGATTTTTCCGAGGCTTGAACAACTTCTCATGAGCCTGGATTTTGTTGACAGCTATAACGTTATGCGGAATCGATTAAAGCTTGAACTACAAACTTAACTTGGCAACACTTAACATCACTTGCAGCCCTTCGAGTGTGACAGCTTGTCACCTCCTAGCCAAGGGCGTAGAAAACGGCAGGTGAGTAGTTATGCCTTGCTCAGTTTGCAGGACGAGCAAACTGGTCGAGAAAAATTTCGACAGCACCAAGGTAATATTTCTACTCTCGTCAATATGAAGTAGTAGAATGCGAGCTTGAAAAACGCGAATGCATTAGATTGATCTCGACAGGTACAAGCACACATTTATAAATTCTACGCACAACCAGGAGCATCTAGAAAACAGTTGTTTAACTAGCTCGCAGGATTTCGCCACGCTGTATCTTAAAAATAGTTGCACAACTCCTTGAGCATTTGGCTATATCCTCCTGTTGTTAAAACTGTCTTCAAATTGCACTTGTAACAATCGCCCCTGTTGACTCAAATGTGTACACTCATGAGACTCGCATGTGGCTCCAATGTAGCTCCAATGTCTTCATGCGAGCTCACAATTATATAATGGTTTTTACCGTTTGAAAAACGGAGTAACCGAATTGTACCTGTGTCGAAATGATTCCGCACAGCGACGGTACATTCGCGAGAATTTTCCCGTCCCGTGAGTCAGCACGGGATACAGTTTTCAACTGTAATCCCGAGCACCCCCTCGTGCCACACGCACGACCGAGATTTTTCTCGGTCGTGCTGTAAAGCGCGTCATGATCGAAATCATGCGCGTGTACAGTGCGGGACAGGGCCGAAATGGGCACTGTCCTGTTGCGATCGTGCAGTATAGTGTATGCGCAACAAGACGTGGCACACGCCCGAGCCGTGAGGGGCCACACACGCGTATTAGGACCCAAACGCGGTCCTGATTTTCGCACCCTTTGACTCGCGCGAAACGGTCAAACAACACCCCTTTGACCAGTCAATCTTTCGAGCCCCCCTGCACACCACTCACTCACATAAGCCTCGTATAAAATATTCGAGGCATATGGAACTTCGATGAGCCTCGCATAAATCATTCGAAGCTCGCCCATATGAGCCTCGCATGAAATATTTCCCATGTGACTTTGATGAGAACTCATTTGAGTTTCATGAGGGCCTCATTTGAGACTTCGTGGGAGTCTCATTTGAGCGCATCATGTGAGCCTCATTTGAGCGCATCATGTGAGCCTCATTTGAGTGTCAGAATATGTTGTTTGTGTAGTGGGGTACTCAATAGTGAGTACAGCCCCTTAGGGTTTGCTATTTGTATCCTGCTGCTTGCTAGTTCAATCATTTCCTTCTCAATTCTGTTCCTGCACACAACTCTCGCTCGTACTTGACGCCTCGTCCTAGTCTTCCTGTGGCCTAGGCTACTAAGCCTAGGCCCGACTACTTAGTATGTTTGACATGGTATCAGAGGGCGGCATG